CGTCGCAAAAAAAATGACAATAACGCAGTCATGCTTTTAAAATTTATTTATTTATTACACTCAATAGTGGTATTAAATAACAATACGTCATGCACGATTGTGGAACATGTTGTTCGTAAGTCATAGTGTAAACACTAGGTTAAAAGAAACAATGGGGGTATGACGTTTGTTCTACACAAGAAGTGAACTTACACTAAACAGTGACAAACGGAATGTATGATGAGAACGGTACTTGAACAAATTAGGTTTATTGTATGAGGTACCTTTGCAGGGCTTTTATTCGTGGTATTTTGCATGTATTCTTGGAGAAGGACACATTATGTTGCTAAATCAAGCTACAACATGCTTACAATTTGACCCATGGACACTTTAAAGTTGAAGGATAAATTCTCTGAAGTCTGGACAATATTTCCAGATATGGACACTTTTTCCAAATTTCCAGAAGAAGTACATTTTCAAACATTGTACTGTATACCTGATCATGAACAAAGTGAGCTACTCTTATGGAACTGAAGTTGTAATAAATATTTTAGTAAATTTACTTTGATTTATTTTCCAGATTCCACTGTGAATCTTCCTGCCGTGTTCCCCGGCGGATTGCGCATTTTTATTCTTCTAATTCTTTTTGGGCTCTTGCCTTACAACATCACTGACGTTTCAATAATTTCAGAGCCATGTTTTCACCTTTCGAAGCAAAATGTCAAATAAATTCAATAATAATGTGTGATGATATTCCAAGAAAAAACGGTGAGTCCGAGAAAATGACTAATAAATTCGAAACCGACTCTGGGCGAAATGCGAAAGGAAAAGCTGAGCGTTTGAATCAACGAGAGGACTTCAAAAGCCATGCTGCAAAATTCGCTTGAAAGCGGGTGTGTGTGTTTTTTAAAGCAAAAGATGCGAAGTAAAAAGGTGTGTTGAATTTATATTATGTGCTTGCCTGAAATGCGTGCTGTTTGCAACATTCGGCACGTGTCAGAAAGCTTTTTGCATAACTGACATGACTCGCGCACCCGAGACAACTCCGCTGATGGACTGCACATTTTGGAGATGATGTAAAATCTTAACTCAATTGAATGGAATGAGCCTTTCTCTGAAAATGTCACAGCTTAAATATTTAAAATATGGGTCACGGGTTTCTTTTGAAGGTAAATAAAGGAAAACACGTGCAGAAAGTCCTCGTGAAATGTCGACCTTTTGTTTGAAGAATGATGATGAGCAGAGAAATTATTTAAATTACTTCAATAATGATGGAATCAAGCTGCAATTTGAATTCTGGAAAAAAATGCACGTGATATGAAAAACTTATTGAATTAAATTTGAACTTTTCGAATGCAGTGGGACCCCGACATACGGACGACACGACTTCTGGACGATTTGTACTTTTAGGAAAATTTAAAGTTTTAAAAAAATATGCCCCAACATCTGGAGACCTTCTTGAGATACGGACACTTACCCACCATTTATTTCTAGAAAAATTGAAAAAAAAAGTTAAACCTATACGAAGTTTGTTTAGCCCGATATATAAAAGTGTTTTTGAGTTTTATGTAAAGTAAAATCGAAATAAAGTTAAGTATTAATTTTAGTCACGATTAAAAAGCGATTATAATTCGGATAATTTTCCTTACACGTGTACAAAGTATAGCTGGACTATTCCTTGTTCTTTGCTTCTTGAGCTTCTTTTGATGCGAAAAAATTATACTCTGTATATAGTTATTTTCTGCATGTTGAAGTTGAGAAATAAATTTTATTCAATTTTTCGGGGACTTTATTTCAAGTGAACAGGAGAACCAATTAAAAATGTTCCCATTTAAAGCTATGCTGGGAAAACGTGATCTGACCCAGGGACAAGTAGGTGCTAGCACAAATTCCGTCCACATATTTTGGCCCCACCTCTTGTTTGTTTTTTTGGCACAGTTTCGACATGCTCACCATATTTGTGGCGAGTTTGCGGAGGTCGGCGTTGAGTTGACCCGGGAACCGGAGGCAAGTCGTCACACCCGACATGCACAGTGACACCAAGTGGTTGAGGTCACCATAGGTCGGCGTGGCGAGTTTCAGGGTGCGAAAGCAAATGTCATACAGGGCCTCGTTGTCTATGCAGTAGGTGAGCAGACACAAGAGCTGGTCGACCACACGACTGTCTTACCGCAACATCCCGAGGTGGTGCCACAGCCTGTGGAAGCCTGAACCGTGGTGGCTTTTGCACGAGTACTAGGACAAAAAAACAAAAAAAGTTTTTTCAAATCAATACCAAGCATCAGCACGAGTTAATTGTCAGCAGACAGGAGCAACGAGCAGAAACCGCGAGCTTCTTTTTTTTAGCTATTTTCTATTGCTTATATTTTCGTATAATCGTTAAGAAAAATAATGTAGTCGTCGCTTCCAAGAAAAATAATGAAAATAATTACATTCGCGAAGAACCTTCCATTGAAATCAGTCATAAATTAATATAACTATGTCTCTGGTGAAATTGACAGTTTTTTGTTGATTGCAACAAAAAAGGCTTTTGCACCATCAGGTTTTTTTCCTCGGTTATTTTTATGCAGCGATTCACAGACCAGAAAAAAATCGTAGGTATAACTTTTTCTGATTTCAGTTTGAAAATAATTCAACGTCCAAGTATTTTCGGCTTGTTCAAAAATATTTTCCAACTGATTTCTAGGAAAAATGAAGACGTGTGCAGGTATTCTTTTTTCTTTTCTTTTTTTTGGTCAATCAATTCCGATTTCCCGGTGTTTTTCAAATCTCGCGTGCATGTGGGTACATTTCTGGTTCGTTTGCTGACTGTTACCCGATGTCCTTGAAAAAAGCAATTAGTGCTTTAAACTTTTATACAGTATTGTACATTAACTTTTATACATTTAATATATCGAACAATAAATATAAAAGTTCACTGACGTTTCAGGGTAGTCTTCCCGCATGCGGGAAATGAGCAAAGTTCCCATTCCACTGCCAGTTCCCCCTCCCAGGGAATGGGTCAGTTGGAACCCTTGCAGCAGGTCGCAGTTCTACTCGTCTGTGTTCTCGACCAGCTGGTGTGCTGACAGAATGGCGTTGTAGGGCTCCACCACGGTGTCGGACACCTTCGGACTTGGCACCACCGAAAACGTGCTCATGATCCTGTTTTTTTGTTTTTTTTTTCAAATCAATACCAAGCATCAGCACGAGTTAATTGTCAGCAGACAGGAGCAACGAGCAGAAACCGCGAGCTTCTTTTTTTTTAGCTGTTTTCTTTTGCTTAAATTTTCATATAATCGTTAAGAAAAATAATTTAATCGTCGCTTCAAAGAAAAATACTAAAAATAATTACATTTGCGAAGAATCTTCCATTGAAATCAGTCATATAAATTAATATATAGCTATGTCTCTGGTGAAATTGACAGTTTTTTGTTGATTGCAACAAAAAAGGCTTTTGCACCATCAGGTTTTTTTCCTCGGTTATTTTTATGCAACGATTCACAGACCAGAAAAAAAAATCGTAGGTGTAACTTTTTCTGATTTCAGTTTGAAAATAATTCAACGTCCAAGTATTTTCGGCTTGTTCAAAAATATTTTCCAATTGATTTCTAGGAAAAATGAAGACGTGTGCAGGTATTCTTTTCTTTTTTTTTTTTGGTCAATCAATTCCGATTTCCCGGTGTTTTTCAAATCTCGCGTGCCTGTGGGTACATTTCTGGTTCGTTTGCTGACTGTTACCCGATTTCCTTTTAAAAAAAGTCAATTAGTGCTTTAAACTTTTATACAGTATTGTACATTACTTTTTATACATTTAATATATTGAACAATAAATGTAAAAGTTCACTGACGTTTCAGGGTAGTCTTCCCGCATGCGGGAAATGAGCAAAGTTCCCATTCCACTGCCAGTTCCCCCTCCCAGGGAATGGGTCAGTTGGAACCCTTGCAGCAGGTCGCAGTTCTCCACTTCTTTCCTCACCACCTGCGAGGTTTATTTGCGAAATTCCAGGGAAGAGAAGCAGACATGAATCAATTGACTCGACTGCGAGGAAATCGAGTGTGTTCCGCGGAAACGTCTCTATATGAATAGGTAAATTAGATAACGAAGTTGAGTGAAGTTCCCCCGAAACGGAAGCGCTCTTTATTTATAAAGAAATAATGAGCTGATGGAGAAAGGAAACTGGGTTAAAAGGCTTTTTCTGTCCTGTTTCTCGCGAAAAGAGGTCGTCGTAAAGTCATTCCTCCTCGCGAAGGGATGATGGGAGAATCGCTAAGTTCATTTTGTCCTCCGGGAAATTTCGAACGAATTGCACATAAGCAAAAGGAAATTCCCGAGATGATTTCCAATTTGGATTCGAGATTTCATTAGCCTCGGCAGCGAATATTCAGAGAAAATTACTTAATTTGATGATTCGAGAACAATCATGGAATTCATTGATTTAACAAAGAATCTCGCATCTGAAAGCATACTGTTAATAACCTTTGTGCATGTTTTTTTTTTTTTTCATGCATGATAAGAATAGATGTTCAAGTGGTGTAATTACAACAGTGTAAACACAGTATATTGGTCATTTGCATCATCAGAGCACATTTTCTTCTTATGTGCAGCAATCCACAGCATAAGAATTAAGCTTTCCAAAAGACTTACAATTCTCATAACTTAATAAAAAAAGCACTTTCCCAAATCAAAGATGACCACAAAAAACTGTTAGCTTCACGTGATTTCTTGTCAAAGATTCTCTCTAAATTGTGTATAGTCAATTGAAAATTATCTTTGAACAGGCTGAACCCTTTGTGATTAAAGTTGTGTTCAGTAATTGCCTTACAAAAAATCAAGGCAACTCATTATTCATTCATTTGTATGTACTGTGATTTATTCTCTTCTAATATACTTTTACAAGTATAGTGAATTATTTTCCTTTTCATATGATGGAATTTGCTGAATGGATGTGTGAATGGGTGTGGGGAAATATGTCTCAAAAGTGGCAACTAAAGCCATGTCTAACAATCAATCAATCAAAAGAAAATGAGAATTGACAAAGCTATAGTAGATTGTGTTTTTGTTTTTGTTTTGGTAGCTGCACTAGAAAAGTGAACCAGCATTACAGTTTTACAAGAGTGACATCTTGGTAGACATTTCTTAAAGTCCCGTTTGGATGAATATATTCTTGCGGCAAGGTAACGAGGCTTAGAATCGTAAAAAAGCATAATGAGTCTGTCATAACTAAGTGAAGGTGATATTCGAATAAAGTAATCAGTATATAACTTCCAGACAACTATATATATATATATAGCCCATATATAGGCTGGGATTTTGAAGAGACATTGTTTTTCATGCTAAAAAAAAAACCACTCGTCAAATGCCGATCTCTCACAAACCTCGATGACATTGTCGACGATCTCAGCACCCTCTGTGTAGTGTCCCTTGGCCCAGTTGTTGCCGGCGCCGCTTTGCCCAAAAACGAAGTTGTCCGGCCGGAAGATTTGTCCGTACGGACCGGACCTGACTGAGTCCATGGTTCCGGGTTCCAGGTCGACCAGAATGCATCGAGGCACATATTTGCCACCAGATGCCTGCTCATAGTAGACGTTCAGTCGCTCCACTTGCAATTCAGAGTCCCCGTGGTAGTCCCCGTTGGGATCTATCCCGTGTTCGTCGGAAATAATCTCCCAAAACTGAAAATATTCATGTTTATGGGTTATTCATGGAACAAAAGAAAAACAAAAGCGTACATTTAAAAAAATTTACATGAGGTCAGAAGAGCGAAATGAAAAATGAGATCCCAGAGTTCACTTACCTAATCTTTCATTTAATTTCAATTTTCCACTTTTTATTTAAAATGTTGAACATTTAAACAGAATTGCAATACGTGTGCGTAGTCTTTCAAAAGCTGCTGGTAGGTTATTTATATTTTTTAATTACTGCTGAGGCACAGGTTTCTTCGGATATGGTCTAAGTATCATGTGGATCAATGAACATTAATTATATAAATAATCATCAACTCGACATGGTCTTTGACCGACGATTCAAATTTACCGTTGTTTTCTGCAACGAACTGTTGAAAATTTTGAATTTATTTCACAGACAATTTAGACTTCGGACGCATGTCGGATAATTGGATCTGCAGTGATCTTTTCAATTTCAAAACAAAACCTAAAATGTTTATAACGTAATATTCAAATCTTACCTTGGCACCGATTTGGTTTCCACATTGTCCACATTGCACATGGACTATTTCGCGCATTTTGAAGCAATTTTTTATGCGTACTTCTGAAAACGAAAAGAAATAGAAAACGTACTTGAAAGGTGATCTTAAATAAATAAAATGGTCAGAGATTTTTTTTATGAGACTAATTTTCTTTAAAGTCAGACAAAATGTTTTTTTTTTTGCAACCATCTTCCACAGCAAAAGTGCGCATTGATACACGAGTGTTTTCATTGCTTCAAGTTTTGAATACTTTCGATTCGAATTTTGGTTGCTCTCAATAAGTCATCACACGTATAGCAGAGCATCACGAGCAGGTTTAAACAAAAAATAAATACAATGTTTTTTTTCGTCTAAATATTCGAAATACTGTTTAATATGAGTGGGGTTTAAAGTATCAAGTGCTTTTGGGATCAATTGCTTCCGTGAATACTGAGATTTCCGAAGTATTTGCTAGAGAAATCCCCCTTTTTTATCTTTTCTTTCGCTCGTTTCTCATTTTTCTCCGATGAGGTTTCAGTCGGCTTCTCCGTCGTCGTCGGGTTCGGGTTCGGGTTCTTGGTCGGCATCCATGTCTTCCTCCTCGTCGTCAACAGTGGCGTCCTGGTACTGCTGGTACTCAGACACGAGGTCATTCATGTTGGACTCGGCTTCAGTGAATTCCATTTCGTCCATTCCTTCGCCGGTGTACCAGTGCAAAAAGGCCTTGCGGCGGAACATGGCGGTGAATTGCTCGCGAATCCGCTTGAACAGCTCTTGGATAGCTGTGGTGTTCCCTATGAAGGTGGACGCCATTTTGAGGCCGCGGGGAGGAATGTCGCAAACGGCCACTTTCACATTGCTGGGGATCCATTCCACGAACTGAGAACTGTTCTTGGTTTGCACTGACAATATTTGTTCATCTACCTGCAAAATCATAGTGAAAATCGATGTCAGACATTGAACTTGTCTGTCCCTTCAATTAGGGCTTGTTTTCTTATTAAAATGGTGCCTCACTCTTATGAAACATCCCTCAAACAGAGAATATGCCAAAAAAATACCCATCAAAACTAACATTGTTCTGCTAACATACCATATGTTCTGTACTACATAATAATTTTGTACAGTATCTTGATGTTTTTGACTTTCTGTTTTATTGTGTTTTGCACATCAAATGTTTTGCTGGAACACATTGTATTTTTCATTATGCACAAAGCCAATATATACTGTAAAATCAATCCCTACACAACATACTTAATTTGTGCAACAGACTAGTCTGTTGTGTGAAAAGTCTGTTATCTGAATTCAATTATTAAAAAATTATAATTTTTACATTTTTACTATTAAATTTAAACCAGCATAAGCCAGTTAGGGAGATTCAGTCCATTAGGCGGGAGGTATGGTGTTCAGGGCTCAACTGTAATACCTTACCCACCCAAAAACTATGAAATTAAAGCAAAAAGGTTTTATTCAAATCCAAGAAGAGATCAAATTAATGCCAGAAATATTTTTTTATCAGAGTTCTATACAGCAATGCAACATCCCCAAGAGTCAAACTTCTCAGTTGAAAACCTTAGTAATTCAAATGTCTAGTGAATCAATGGCCACTCATCTTAGGTCCAATGTTTCATTTTTTAACCTCCAAAGCTCACAACTGTTTGATTCCAACCTCTCTTATAGTCACATTTGAATTGTTCATGGTCGTTGAAGTTTAACCACAATGTTTTTTAATCTCAAATCAAAAAACAGCAAGGAAAATAATTTTAAGATCCAAATGAGTGTCTTATATAGAATCAGATTTAATTATTTTTAGGATGTTAGCTGTTGACAAACCTCTTTCATTGACATGCGACCACGGAAAACAGCTGCAACTGTGAGGTATTTTCCATGTCTAGGGTCACAAGCTGCCATCATGTTCTTTGCATCAAACAATTGGGCAGTGAGTTCAGGTACAGTTAGAGCTTTGTACTGCTGGCTCCCTCTGGCTGTCAGTGGTGCGAATCCAGGCATGAAGAAATGCAATCTTGGGAATGGAACCTAAAAATTTTTGGAACATTTACTACACATTTCTGGGGCATTTTGACCTTATTGGGACAGCAGTGGGTTAATTTTCCATCCTATGGCATCTGCGATGAAATTATTTCTCTTTTTTTTTTTGCACACAGGCATATTTCAGTCTGACCAAAAGTCGCCTAAATACACCCTTATTGGCCTGAGAAGCTGAAGATAAGAAAAATCCATTAAACGAAAACCCATTGTGTATGCATTGTTAATCCTGAAGTAAAAATGTGATGAAAAATGCCACTCAGCACTTCAGCAATATACATTTTTTCAAGAATTTTTTTGAAAAAAATGAATACAGCATCGGAATTTTTCTGGCGTGGCTCTGTAGATCAAACTATTTTTCGTTTTTTTCATATTTGGAAAAGTGTGTGCAAGTAGATACCAGCTCTGGAACAGAAGGGTTAAATTTTATGCAGAGCACAGTTTATCAAATTGATGGAATGCTTGAAAGAAAATGAATTGATGTTCAGTTATTCATCATCAAATCAACTACAGTTAATGCTCTGTGGAATTAAAAATGCATTATGTTACCATGTTTGTGGCAAGTTTTCTCAAATCAGCATTGAGTTGTCCAGGGAATCTGAGGCAAGTAGTAACTCCAGACATTGTGAGTGAAACCAGGTGATTCAGGTCCCCGTAAGTCGGGGTGGCTAGTTTCAATGTTCGAAAGCAGATGTCGTACAAGGCCTCGTTGTCAATGCAGTAGGTCTCATCTGTGTTTTCCACCAGTTGGTGGACAGAAAGGGTTGCATTGTATGGTTCAACCACCGTGTCCGACACTTTGGGACTCGGCACAACCGAGAATGTGCTCATAATTCTGGTTATTCATCATAAAAAGCGATACAATAAAATTATGTTTAATTTTATTGTCAATTAAAAAGAATTATATGAGATGATTTTTACCTGTCAGGATAGTCTTCGCGCATTTTGGAAATGAGAAGAGTACCCATTCCACTTCCAGTGCCCCCACCCAGGGAATGGGTGAGTTGGAACCCTTGGAGAAGATCACAATCCTCTGCTTCTTTTCTGATGACCTGCATGAAACAAAACAAAATGTTCACAGGGGCTAAGCGAATTTATCCATGAGTGAGTATATTGTAATTTAATTATGTTATTTAGCTGTCCAAGTTTTTTAATGAATTCCTCTATACTAAGTTACCAAAATACATTAACTCATTTCAGCAAATTGAAACAAATTCATTACTTGAAAATTAAACCTTCTCTTGAAACCCTTGCAGAAATTCAAAATCCTGTGCTGCTTTTCTGATGACCAGCATAAAACATGTTTAATGGCGGATTAAGTGAGTTTACTTGAGTGAATATGGTACTTTAATTCCATGTAGGAGCTGATGACGTTTTTTGAAAATTTTCTGCACTATTACTAGGTTTACAAAATGACTCATTTCAAAATAAAATTGAAAGAAATGCAGAGTTTGATGAATAAACCTTCATCCAGTTGAAACCCTTTGAAGAAAAGCAACATTTTCTTCGGATTTTCTGATGACCTGCTTTAAAACAAAATGAGAAGTATTATCGGATTTAGGCGAGTACACTTGAGTGAATATGGTAATTTAAGTTGTTTCATGATTCCTTCGCTATACTAGGTTGACAAAATAGTTAATTTTCATAAATAAAAAATTCAGATCTTGATAAAGACACGAAAGCTTCTTTTTTTTAATCTCAGCATGTATATCTTCCCCCAGGATTATTTAAACTAAAGTGACTTGCTTCAAGAACCCCGTCGACAACTTCAGCGCCCTCTGTGTAGTGGCCTTTGGCCCAATTGTTGCCAGCTCCGCTTTGGCCAAATACGTAGTTGTCCGGGCGGAAAATTTGTCCGTACGGACCGGACCGCACTGAGTCCATTGTGCCAGGTTCCAAGTCCACTAGGACACATCGAGGCACATATTTGCTGTTTTGGGCCTCGTTGTAGTAGACGCTGATCCTCTCCAATTGTAATTCTGAGTCCCCATGATATTCTCCGGTTGGGTCGATGCCGTGTTCGTCAGAAATTATCTCCCAGAACTGCATTTTAAAAAGGAAGAGAAACGCATTAATCAAATTTTAATTTACTGTACATATTTTTCATTACTTATTCGTTATTACAGATTTAACGTATTTTTTTTAATTTTGTGTGGCAATAAATACCCGGTAGAAAACAAAAATCTCTCACCTTTGCGCCGATTTGGTTGCCACACTGCCCACATTGCAGGTGAACAATCTCGCGCATGGTTAAATTCTTTTCTTTTTGTTTAAATGTTTGAGAAAATTCCCTGTGAATGAATATTAGATATTCATTAGGTATTCGAATATTTCCTCATTTTCACCTTGCTCATCTTGAAACACTTTGAATTTTATTGAAATCGTCCAGGACCAGGAATTGAGCTCAGAACATTTATGCAGTATTTCTTTCCAAGTAACACTATGAATATGGAAACGATTGAAATTGTGCTGAGAAAAGAAGGGAAAATTGAGTCGTGTTCAACATGAAAGGATTTTAGGATAAGTGTCCGAAAATGCCATAAAAGCCTACTCTGTTAGAAATCTGAAACGAAGAAGACCAGAGAGATAAAATTATTGAGGGATAATTAGTTGACTTCGGCTTTCAAAAATATATGATCACCGCACTTCTAAAAGTTTAAAGCCCCGCAAATGGCTGCGAAAATGCAATACTGTACTTCAGTTTTTAAAATCACATTGCAATCATTTGAGCTAGCTATTGTCAAAGAAATCATGGGGGTAACTTGAAATTTGTTGCGAGGCAAAAAAACACAGTATATATATACTTTTGACTTTTTCCTACAAGTTTTCATTTATTTATTATTCAGTCTTCATCAGCACCCTTCACATAATCAAAAAATTATACACTTCTTTCGACACTTGTATACTTTTCTTTTAAAAAAGCATGAATTCAACTTCGCATAATTTGAAAAGCATCTTAATTCGTCGATTAAAATGTACCTTTCATGAAAGTGAGAGGAACAGATCATATAAGAGCTGAATATTCGTCCAATTTTTCGTTGCAAGAAACAGAGAAGCAAATCATTTTTCTAATAAGATGGCGGCCGGGATATTCGGGAAAAATGCATCATTTGGGAACTTTAGTCATTTAAAAATGTCTTTGGATCATCTTCCCGCTTTGAAATATATTGTCAGTTTAAGGGACATGTTCCTCCCTTTATTTTCGAAAATTTTAAAAATATGTAGTAATTTCGAAAACAGCTGTAGCAGCCTGAAATACCAAAGTCGATATACTGTACAGTATACGATATTTTTTATAAAACAGTAAAAGCTGTTCGAGAGTATTTGAATTGAACTTTAATACAGCTTGTTTCTACATATTTTTTCGTCAAGGAACGACGAGAGCATTTGAATTGAATTTCGTCGAACTTTGACCTGAGAATTCCAGGATTCGTATTTTTTTTTAATATTTTTCTTGGTCCACCCTCCTGGAACAAAGTACAGTATTTGTTTCGCCGAATTTTAAAAATATTCGCAGAATATTCAAGTGAAACCCTAATCCTCGGCAGCTTCAAATTCTTCCTCAATCGACCTAGCATCACTTGACTCGGGTCGATCCACTTGATGCTGCTGATACTCGGCAATGAGGTCGGCCACATTCATCGCAGCCTCTGTAAATTCTGCCTCTTCCATGCCTTCCTGCGTGTACCAGTGCACATAGGCCCTACTGCGGAACATGACGTGGAATTGGTCTGTGATCCGCTGGAACAATCCACTGGCGGCAGTCGTGTTTGCAATGAACGTGGACGCCATTTGCAGACCCCTGGGAGGAATGTCGCACACGGCTCTTTGCACCTTGTCAGGGATCCAGTCCACAAAGTGGGATGAGTGTTTTGACACCATGCTGCATATTTGCTCGTCCACCTGCGATTCGAAGCAGATGAGCAGTGTACAGTATGAAGATTTATTTATATAAAGGGATTGAATTTGAATCCTCTGTTAAGTAGAGGATAACTTGTGTTGAGCACTGGGGTAATATTGTCTACAAATTGGTTTTGCAAGATAACATCAATAAAGTATTACATTTACTTGAGCACCATATTATTTCCTTTCCTTGAAAAATAGAATAAAAAATGAAGGTGCGCTGTCCCACTTGGGGAGCTATTCTTTGTGTGACCCCACAAATGGTGCACACTGGGGTCACAATTGGCGTACATGGGCTATTTTGGGGTTACAAGCATGCACCTCTGTCTATAAAATTTTGCTACCATTCCTGGGCTACATTTGGTGCACAAATGTGACATAACAGGAGTATCACACAAATGCACCAACTGTAACCTTGGTGTAACTTATTTGTTTACAAATGTGCCCCATAGTAATCCTGGCGTGAACGCACAATTGGTGCACTTTAGGGATATGCATGTGCAACAAAAGAACTTTGGTACACTTCAGGTGCACAGCAGGGTCACTGTGTAGAATTACAAACATATCCCCAGTGTGCACCAATTTCCCCACTTGGGTGTCATAGGAAGGCATTGAACTTTTTTGTTCAAGTGCACGCAAGTGAAAATGAACTGAATCAGTTTCAAAATATATTCACGTGCAAAATTCTGGAAGGTGTTTGAAAACAACTGTCTGGTTTTGTATAGTACAAGTACAGATATGAAATGCTGACCACATCAGTACAGTGGACAATCATACAGTACTGCATGTGCAGCCTCTATGTGAGGAGCAGAGAACTAACCTCTTTCATGGACAGCTTCCCCCGGAAGATGGCAGCAGCAGTGAAAAAGACCCCGTGCTTGGGATTGCAGGCAGCAAACCAATTCCTCCCATCAAACATCTGCGTGGTCAACTCCTTCACAGTCAGCGCCCGGTAAACAGAGCTCTCAGCGGAAACCAGGGGTGCAAATGCAGGGACGAAGAAATGCAACCTGGGGAACGGAACCTGCGGGTGAAGCGTAGTCGCACAAACCCCCGCTGGGCAGACGAGGAAAACAACAACCCCCTTGATTTTTCTGGACAAACGAAAAAACGCACCATGTTGGTTGCGAGTTTCCGTAGGTCCGTGTTGAGTTGACCCGGGAATCTGAGGCAGGTCGTTACCCCAGACATGACTAGCGACACCAAGTGATTCATATCCGCGTATGACGGAGCGGATAGTTTCAAAGTTCTGCAGCAGATGTCGTACAAGGCTTCGTTGTCGATGCAGATGGTCTCGTCGGTGTAGTCGATGAGTTGCGCCAAGGACAAGGTAGCGTTGTAGGGTTCTACAACCGTGTCCGATACTTTGGCGCTTGGCAACACTGAGAAGGTGCTCATAATCCTGCGAATTCCATGGAAATAAAAATGTAATCAAGTTCAGCTGAAGTGTTTCTAAAATTACTAAATTCATATCGAATATATTTTATAAATGCAGGGCGGACCAGAAAAAATACTGTATTATTGCGCATGAATAGGGATAATATTATCCTCTTACACTACCAACGAAAATAGTGTCTTCAAAAAATAATTACTGTGATTGGAGAATGTGCGTGTTGAACATGTCAATGACAGTAAAATCATGACATTATTCACAGATGAGTGTTGAACCAACTTTCTTTCTAATATTTTATTTTTCTACATGATGCCTTCAAATGCTTTTTGAAATATACTGCTGTTAAAAAAAAAGTAATGTGCTTATTTTCTGGTTGACGAGGGAAATGACATTTTAGGCATATGCAGTACAGTACATGCATAGCTATATATTTATTTTCAATTTTGTATAAATTACCTGTCTGGATACTCCTCGCGGATTTTTGAGATTATCAAAGCCCCAGTTCCACTTCCGGTCCCGCCACCAAGGGATTGCGTCATTTGGAAGCCTTGCAGCAAATCGCACCCTTCAACTTCTTTTCTCACAACCTGTAAAAAGGTAATACAGTATGTATGCTAAGAGAACATTAGCAAGGTACTGTAGACAGTACAGTATTTGTTTTTCAACCGTCGGAACTTGAAAGGGAGTGAATTGACCTCACTTTTTCTATACACAAATGTTTGCAGAAAGGGGAAAATTTAATTAAAAGTACTTCGAGTTCATGGACAAAATCCACTCAGTCTGTGAATTGAGATAGTAAACAATTTTAATAATTTTGACGAAATTTTAGGATTTGTCCCAAGAAATGTGTGAAAAGCTCTTTCTCAAAAGATATCACCCTGATTTAAAAAAATGCAATGTTCCGGAAGAAAAAGTAACCTATTGACAAATGCTTTTAAAAATCAAATATACTTGGGTCTTGGCGTGAAAATGTTACTATCTCTGCAAAAATGAGTTTTGCTGTCCTGACATTGTGTTTTGAGCAACATGATTTCTGATCAGTCATAATGACAGAATAAGCACAGCATTCAATTTGTTCCTCGCACTCTCAAAATAATCTTGATGTACCTTGAAAACCTGCTCATATTGTAATATTGTACCTAGCCCAGTATTTCAAAATTTCAAAGTCTCAGCTTCCCTGATCATTTTTAACCTTTTAGACATTTTTCTTTTCATTGTAAACTTGCTGTCTGGCCTTTGGAAATTAGTTTCAAATTTTTGAACACTCAAATTATAAAATTTTATTATCTTCCTGCGCTTTGAGTGGTTCTTGCAGTATGCTAACAATAACCTGTTCCCATTGAGGTTTTCCTTGCTGTACTTTTCCAAGTCCAGTTAGCAACAGTCTCGCTTTATGGATTGTGTCTTGTCATCAGGTCTTTGCCTTTTTACCATCCCAGTTTCATTTATGTTTATGCGCGGTCATTTAACTTTCTTGCCTGAGACTTGGAATCCATAAAGGAGTGTCCAAACATTCCTCTGGCATTCATTGTTGGTCTGGTCTTAGTTGCATACTGTACATTGGATTTGGGAAATACATATACTGTATTACACTTGCTAAACCAGGAGTCCTATTATTGTTTCACATTGCTCAGGCCATGAGAATTAATGCTCCTCAACTCATGTTTTCATAAGAGGTAATATCAGAACAAAGAAGATTGCTCTGCAAAAAAGACAGTCAATGCATTTGTATTTATTTTGAGCAATTCTGAAAATCTAGGATAACAGTATGCATTATTTTTCTACTGAAATTTGTTTTTAAATTAATTTTTTGCCAGTGAGAAATTACGTCAGGAACTTTTTTTTTCATATGTGCATTTTAATTGCCTCACCTCTAAGATCCTGTCAACGATCTCAGCGCCCTCTGTGAAGAAGCCCTTGGCCCAGTTGTTGGCAGCGCCATTGACACCGAACACGAAGTTGTCCGGACGGAACAACTTGCCCATGGGACCAGATTTGGCCGCGTGCATTGTGCCGGGTTCCAAGTCCACCAGGACACATCTGGGTACGTAATTATCCCGGGATCCCTGATCGAAGTACACATTGAGGCGTTCTTTTTGCAGGTCCGAGTCTCCGCTGAAGGACCCATCCGGAGTGATGCCGTGTTCTGATGCCACCATTTCCCAGAACTTTCGAACAAAATAGATCAATACAGTTGCAAAAAAATAAAAATAAGTAGCACATTTTCGTAAAAATTCAAAGCGATCGAGTAAGATGGAGAACTGAACAACTTTCTCAATTTTTCAATTCATTTGTACAAAGTTCTGGACACTGAATATATTTTTATTTTTATAATATTTTTTTTTCTCCATCAGAAAAATTTTCCTCTTAAAAATATTCTCATTCTCTCGGGTTTGTGAATTTAAATTATTAAATTTTGCTCCAGGAAAAATTGAGAATAATTTTTCATCGTTTCTTATCCAAAAGATCAGCAGGCCTTTTCCTCAAAAAGCTAATTTAGTCTAATATGAAGAAGCTAAGCTATTTTTTTAATTTTTGCGCGAAGGAACGAAATAAATACTCAACTTCTTTTTATACACGTCAAAAAGTCTAACTAATGGAAACAAGGGTGAACCAAAGGTGTGACAGGCGTAACGTTTACATCTTAAAGAGCGTACGGTGTCTTATTTTTTCGTCGACAGACTTACAGAAGAAATGAATTGAATAAATTGGTTCCGAAATTCGTAGAAAAATGTAACTCATCAGAAAATTGAGCCTTGCACATCGTAATACACATCCATTCCCATTCCGATCATATCATCATCATCATCATTATGAAGCCTTCACACCCCCTTCAGAACAGCTCGTAGTATTGCACTACGTGTCGGGTGTAAAAGTACGTCACAAAATTCGAGGCAAAAGCGGCAGCTTGGGTAGTGTTGTGGGTAACGGGGCTTTTTGTGGTAACGAACACTGCTTATGAAACAAAAATCCAATTTGTTTTTTTCACTAGCACTTATTGCATTCTTTTTGATTGAAACAACGTGATGCTTGTCCGGAAAAAATATCCGATTTCCCGGCACGCGAAATATGTATATACTTGTTGGTTCATGTGGACGAACAAAGAATTCGCTTCTTTTCTATTTTAATACATTTGTTTTCTTTTGTGGAGTGAATTGATAATGCTGCTTGTCAAATTGCGTACGTGTTTGTGTGTCCATTTGGAAGTTTATGGCATTTTTCAATTCCTTCAATATTCCATTGAAATTCAGTTCAGTATATATGGAATGAAAATTGATTGAGACTAAGCAAAGCGTCCAAAAAAGTTCTGTACATACACTCATCACCTGAAAAATCTGCTACCCAATTAGTGACTTGTTCGAGTTTGTCTGGGGAAATACCTATTTGTTTTTAGCGAGAGTAGATGTCGCAGCTGTAGTGAACATTTAATATTTTACAGATTCGTCCTGCTTCAGGTTAATGTTCATATTTCGAAAATCCTGGAAGAGTGGGTACGTCAGGAATTGATAAGGATTTATGTAAAAATCAGAAGGATGCCCATTTTTCACAGATGCACGCATGTATTCCTTATATATATGCCCTCTGCTGGAGATCAAATAACAACAAAGAATTGGAGTTTTTTGCTGTACAGTAAATTTTTGGACACCCTGTTATGGAAAGCATTTCTTTGCAAGTCTGAAGCAACTTTAAATTGTTTTTCTGAAATTAAATTGAGAGGATTGAGGATTTATGTCAAAATCAGTATGAATATTTTTTGCTGATGCAAGTCACTGTCCTTTCCACTTGAGATCGGATATCAAGGAATAATTCGACTTTCTCACTGTACAGTAACTTTTTGGACACCCTGTGATCGAAATTATTTTCTATGCAAATCAAAAACAGCTGTTTTTTTTCTAAAAATTAACTTAGATCCGGTTTGACTATTCTTCTCCAGAGAATATACGCTGTATATAGAGGAATACAATGCAAGGAAAATTGATGCCTTTTCCGAGCATTTGCAAAAAAAAAAAAAAAAAAAAAAAAAAAAANAGGCACACTCAGGGCTCGATACTGTTGATCCCCACGAGCAGTTAAAGGCGCGAATCCTGGCATGAAGAAGTGCAATCTCGGGAAGGGCACCTATATCATTCATTTTTTTTAAACGAGATATTAAAATAAAATATATCTTGATCTTCAACTCTTCCGCATTGATTCGATCTAACCATGTTTGTGGCGAGTTTCCGAAGGTCGGCGTTCAGTTGCCCAGGAAACCGGAGGCAGGTTGTGACCCCAGACATGCACAACGACACCAAGTGATTCAGGTCACCGTATGTCGGAGTGGACAGTTTCAAGTTTCTGAAACAGATGTCGTACAAAGCCTCGTTGTCGATGCAATATGTTTCGTCCGTGTTCTCGATGAGCTGGTGCATTGACAAGGTGGCATTGTAGGGTTCCACCACTGTATCGGATACCTTCGGGCTGGGCACCACTGAAAATGTGCTCATAATTCTGAAATGGAAAAAATACAAACGATTGGAAAACCTCCAAGAAAAGTATGCAATGTATCTTGAAAGAAATAGAAAAACAGCAAGACATTAATTGCACCACAATATTTTTCTTGGACGGTTATACAGGTCGACGTCGCTCAACAACAATCTTCTCTACAACGATTTTCTCTGTTTAATATATTTTTGTCTCGTGGGGTTCCTTTTCTACATTATAGGAGTTGCTACAACGAAATTCAGGAGACCAAGAAAAAATTCGTTGTACTGAAGAAAGAATTTTCGCTGTAAATAATTCCTACATGAAATGTGAGGGAGCATAAAAATTCGTTGTAGAGAGTCCACCTGTATTTCTGCATTTTTTTTTAACAATATCTGATGTTTTCCTGAATTCGGTTAGAACAATAAAAATGCTCTCATTCATATAAAAGCCTGTGAAATTCATGTTGTTCTTCCTGGAAATTTTTTTTTCACAAAAAACATTTGTATAAAGCAAATTAATGGATAAACGTTTTAGTTGGATTTACTCGTTCATTTTAGAAAATTAGCCTTTGCTGGAATCAAAAACGGGAAATTTACAGAAAATATATTCCCTTTCACATTTGATCTTCTTTCTCCTAGCCTTGTGAATAAGATGAGCAGTAAAAGTACATTACAAAACTCACAGTAGGCAGACGACTGCTTAAATTTATATTTATATTATAAATATTCTTACCTGTCAGGATAATCCTCACGCATTTTTGATATCAAAAGTGTCCCCATTCCACTTCCAGTTCCTCCTCCAAGAGAATGTGTCAGTTGAAACCCTTGCAGTAAATCACAATCCTCGGCTTCTTTCCTTAGAACCTGTTTTTAATACATATGAGCACACATACCATAAACATAATTTTCCGCATCGGCTAATAATAAAAATAAATTCATTATAAAGACAATTTTCCAGTCAATTGTAATTTTGGTAGAATCTTTATTTACGGTTTGTAGAATATTCCTTTTTACGCATGGTTTTGTGAAATCAGAAAATTTTATTGAATTGTTCAAACTGCCACACATAGAATTCGCAGCCGTAAAATGTCTGTCCCATAACATTGCCCTTTTCAAAAATTAAATTATATTTTCGGGAGCAATGTTGGGAATGCAATATTTCCCTTTGGGGAATAAAAGGAACGTCGCTTTGCCTCTATAATATTCAAGAACTAAAAGACTTTATGGCACCATCACAATCATCAAGTTTCTCATCACAAGAATTCTTCCTGAATTCCATCTTAAGTTCATACGATTATTATGAATTGAAATTTACTCGTTTCCCTGTGAAATGTCCCTTTTATTCAGAGAAACTTAATAGAATGTTCTTGCTTCATAGTGCATGTTCAAGTTTAAATTAAATCATACGTTAAATAAATGTGTATGCTTAAAAATGCACCCATGCCAATCTAAAACAGGGTAATCAACACCAGCTAATTGCTTTAAGAGCACCACAAGGTTGAATAGAAAAATTCAATCTCCTCTCGTCTATCATATTTATAATTTTTTTATGCAAAATAGGGGATCATTCGACATTCCAGTAAATTTCTGACATCTTAAAAATAATTCTATACTGAGATCTGTTTGCTCGTCATCATGTGTACCTCCAGAACAGTGTCAACGACTTCAGCGCCCTCTGTGTAGTGGCCCTTGGCCCAGTTGTTCCCGGCGCCGCTTTGTCCAAACACAAAATTGTCCGGGCGGAAAATTTGTCCATACGGACCGGATCGGACGGAGTCCAAGGTGCCAGGCTCCAGATCTACCAGCATGACTCTGGGAACATATCGTCCACCTTGTGCCTCGTTGTAGTACACATTTATTCGTTCCAGCTGGAGATCGGAATCCCCCTGGTACTCTCCAATAGGAGAGATGCCATGCTCATCCGAAATGATCTCCCAAAACTAGATTTTTTTTTAAAGATTAGAAGAATTTTTGTTTCATCCAGCAATCAAATTTTTGAATTTTCATGAGGTGAATTTCGCTGGATAATTTCATGGAAAATGGGCTATTATTCATTTGATTCGAAATTAGTCGTAGATTGCCAATTTTTAAATCATTTTTCCATTTCATTTCGATTTGATGGAAAGATAACGTTGTCAAGCCATGATCCCCATTTTGAACATAATATTTTCCTATAAATCTCCATGGAACTTCCTGAAAATGAAAACTCTTAGAATTGAGTATCAGAAGATGAACTTTGTTTGCTTCATTTCAAGAATGCCTGTGCCTCATTCCATATAGAAAAATCCGAACGATATTCCCTTGAAAACTGCTTATGGGTGATAAATAAATCATGACATATAATGCGTAATCATAATACTGTAAATGTCATGCATGTGTTAATTTAAGTTTTAACTTTTTGAGTTACAAATCCTTCAAAATTTCCACTTTTTTGGAATCTGACTGCATCCATCTGACCTTGGGGCCAAAAATTTTGTGGTTCAGTTCAAAAATGCGCGAAACTTTGAATATTCAATAGATCTTTACATTGATAGTGTCATTGGAAGCGCAACGCAGTTCTGCGCTTGGCCGTACTTTTTTGGTAAGTTTTTGTCAAT